ATGTAGCCAGAAGAAAAGGTAATAATATTAATTACTTGATAATACCATTTCAACAAGAGACAGGTTTTGCGGTCCAGTGTCACATATGAAAAGAAAATATATCTTGCTGTATCTCTTTCAATAGGCACTGTTAACAGACACAGCAGCATTATGCACTAACCTGCTTTGTCAGTAACTGATCTCATTTAGATATATCAAATTCAGTCTTTACACTTCTGAAACATGCAGTATGGGATAAGCTTATTGGAGATTGATAGTGGAATGAGAGCTCGTGGACATGTGTGGGTTGGTATGAAGGATGAAAGGGCACCTTTCTGTGTTAATGAGGCATTGATTTCCACATCACTAAATAATGAATTCATAAATTAGACCTAACCATAAAACACTGTAACTGAAATCTGCGCACTCAGGGGGTTTCTGTCTTATAAATGAAGCATGCGGGTTGACCATGAGCATTCTTCAGCCAGATCTCGAGTTCTCCTGCTTGCACACGAACACATGAGGAGAAAAGAGCAAGGACGGCAAACTCTTTTGACATCCCACAATAACACATTGGTGATTGGGTGAAATCAAAGACAAGCACTGTTAGTTTGTGCATTATTCATTTGCAGATTGAATGTGGTTTAAGTGCTTAAGCAATTATTCTCTATACTGCATATCCGTAGACTCTTAGTCTGGTTGCGTACAAAACTCTAGGCATACAGAGTCGAACTAAAATATTATAACCATTTGCCTAATATGTTAATTTTTGTGCTGCTAAAACTGTGCTGATGTGGGTATCCTGTCCTGTGACATACTTTGAAATTAAAATTGTTCGATCTGTGGAGAGCGCTCTGGCTGCAGACTCGGTGCAGTGCAATCTGAGCTGCATCCAATGCTTTTTAATGTGCTCACCTAACCCCACCCCTAACCCTACCCGCCACAGTGACAGCACTCACTCCATTGAGTGCATTGTGTCTGATATTGCATCGCTGAGTGATGCAGTCTCAGCTTGCATCATAAAGGCTGCATCCAGATACTATTGGATCAGTGGCATTATTTAAACTAAAACATGAAGATAGGAAACATAGTTCAACTATTTTTTTTTTCTAAAACATCTAATAACTCTGCCAGTGAGTGCTTGAGATTGAGCTCATCAAATGAAAAGCAAATGAGATGCGTCCTGAAGGGGACATTGACTTGTCAGATACTAGAGAGCATTTGATTGGTTAGATGATTTGATCAGAAACTAAAGTATGAGGTGATGTAAAAATGATCTATTTTGTAAGATTTGGATGTTTATATCTCAGAAATGTGAATATTGTCACTGTTTTGGAGCACACTAGCTTATATCCTTAAGACTAACATACTGATAGTAACATCTAAAAACCTTTCTTGAATTTCACTGGGACTTTAAAGGTGTCCTATCACAGCAGACACGCAACATCATAAGACATCATTAATAGGTTAGATTTAGGTCGCAAATGTCTACGGACATAAGCAATAATATTTTGACGTCATACAACGATGTGAAATGACATTAATAATTTGATGATTTTAGGGTGAGTTGGAAAGTGACCAAAGTCCAACGTTGAGCCAACATCATATGGGTTCAGTTGGGTTTACCTGGTCTGCACTGTTTAGTTAGCATGTGTTAAAATGATGTCCACATGGATGGCCAAACACAGGTTTTCCCAGCAGCATATTGACAATTACATGCTTAGTACATGGTCGTCCATATGCTGTAAAAGAAATTATGACTTAGTAAACAAACTTCCACTGTTTTAAAGTTCAATTTTAATGATCACATAGACTCTAAACCAGACTGATGCATGTTCGCACTCATGATACTACAGTAAATAGTACTTACCCTTATACAAAGGAATTTTACATGAACCACTGGTATTCTTTGAACACGTAGTTAGCATAGACCTGTAGCTTTTAAAAAGCTACTTAGAACTCATCTTTTTAGGTCTGTTTTTAATTTGTGATATCTTTTATTATCACTGTGTTTTTTATTGTATTTTTTATTGTTTACTGTGCTTTGCTGTTTTTACTTTCTTGCAAGTGCTTTGGGTTTTTAGAAAAGCTCGTTAGAAATAAAATATTATTATTAATATTATTATTAATATTACAAAGGAATTTTACATGAACCACTGGTATTCTTTGAACACGTAGTTAGCATAGACCTGTTTGGACATCTAACATTTTTAGGCATCATAAAAAGAATAGTATTGCGGAAAATACCCTGCTCTAAAACAATGTGGATTTACTTTTATTCTGAAATATATTTAGATAGGTTTATATGTATGCATTTTGAACTTGCAGGATAAGGATGCATTAGTCAATGAATTATTAATAAGTAGCATTTTCTAAAGTTGTTGACATTTTGTAACTTTTACAGAATGTACAAATGACTTTTGATAATATTCTTATTCATATTTATAATTATTTAACTGTCTTTAATGTAAAAGACTAAATCAGCTATTCTATTTAAGATGTTATTCTGACAGTTTAGTTGAATAATTGAATAAAAGCAGAATTTGACTAAAAGAGATTCTCTTAAAAATTCTAATTATTCTGATTTATATACACTTGCATGTGAATATTTCATTGCTCATATTTTATTTGATGATATGTCATAAGAGCAATAGTTCACTCAGTTAACCCATAGGTTTTAATGGAACTGAAGAAACTATTAATTACAGTAAGTATAACAAGTAAAATAATACTATTAAAGTCAATTCGTCTTTATTTCTATAGCTCTTTTACAACTTTGATTGTGTCAAAGCAGCTTCACATAGAAGATTATAGTAAACTGAAACTTTGTCAGTCCAATTTTCAAAGTTAAAGTTCGGTTTATTTCAGTTCAGTTTGGTTTAATTTTCACAGCTGAAAGTCCAAACACTGAAGAGCACATCCACCAATGCACAGCTCAAAAGTCCCAAACCATACTAGCATCAACATTCTTTTTAGCATGGTCCATCTTACCCCAATGGTCAAATATATACAGTTGAAACCAAAAGTTTACATACACTGTATAAAAAGGCTAATAACTATTTAAAAAGTCAAATTTGTTTCCGTTATGCTTAATAGCAGAAAAATGAGAGAGATTTTTGGAGAAATTGTAGTAACTTTTCTTTAAAGTCAAGTTTACATACAATAAAATGCCTCAGATGATGGCGTAGTTTCTGATTGGCTAATTGACAACATTTAAGTTAATTGGAGGCACAACTGTAGAATAGCATTTAAGGAAAACCCCAAACACACTGCTTCCTTGTGTTACAACAAGGGAAAATCAACAAGCCAGAATCAACAAAAAAGCCTGATTACAATTTGCTAAATTACACTGGGAAAATAATAATTTTTGTAAACATGTCCTGTGGTCTGATGGAACTGAGATTGAACTGTTTGGCCATAATGATCGGTGTTACATTTGGGGGACAAAGGGGAAAGCTTACAACCTAAGGAACACCATCCCAACTGTGAAGGGTGGGGGCAGCAGTATCATGTTGTGGGGCTGTTTTGCTGCAGGAGAGACTGGTCCACTTCACAGCATAGATGGCATCATGAAGAAAGAACATTATGTAGGATTACTGAAGCAACATCTCAATCCATCAGCCAGGAAATTAAAACTTGGCCACAAAATGGTCTTCCAAACAGACCATGACCCTAAGCATACTGCCAAATTAGTTAAAATGTGCTTTAAGGACAACAGAGTGAATGTTTTTGAGTGGCCATCACAAAGCCCTGAACTCAATCCTATAGAAAATTTGTGGGCAGAGTTGAAAAAGCTTGTGTGAGCAAGACAGCCAACAAATCTGACTCACACCAATTCTGTCTGGAGGAATGAGACAAACTTCCTGCAATCTATTGTGAGAAGCTTGTGGAAGGATACCCAAAACATTTGACCAAAGTTATACAGTTTAAAAGCAAAGCTAAAGAAATACCAAGGAAGTATATGTAAACTTTTGACTGTCTAGAACAGGGGTCACCAATCTTGGTCCTGGAGGGCCGGTGTCCCTGCAGGGTTTAGCTCCAACTTGCCTCAACACATCTGCCTGGATGTTTCAAGTATACCTAGTAAGACCTTGATTAGCTTGTTCAGGTGTGTTGGATTAGGGTTGGATTTAAAATCTGCAGGACACCAGCACTCCAGGTTTGGTGACTACTGGTCTAGAACTTAATAAAAAATTCTCAAAAATAAAAAATTCTCATATTAGTCTGCCATTTAGCAAATGTAAATCATTTAGGTAATCCGAACGGACCTAAAATAGTAAACATTAAGATTTACCATCAGACATTTAAAAAAAAATTCCTTTTTTTTAGAGTGTATGTAAACTTCCGGTTTCAACTGTACATGCATTTTTTAAAAACACAAAATTAAACTAAAAAACATGCAAAACATAAATTACACATACTGAAATGTATTTATGCTGTACATATTTCAATAGTAACCAACACAAAACTTTTACAGTCAACATAATACAATATCACAGATCACTTTTTAAAACCTCAAAGCTGTATATGGCTGACGAAATCTGCCAAATGTTGATATTCAGATGCCAAAAGTAGTATCGCAATTCACATTAAGAGCTGAGATAAAGAGATTTTGTGCCATGTATGGCTTTGTGTCATCATGTGGCATCTTACAACAGCTTACCCTAACTATAAAACCCCATTATAGTGATTAGCACACTAGATTTTGAGGCACTAATACTTTTAATCAGCTGATCCCTAGTGATTTCAGTCAATTCATTACATCAGTTCCCCCCATAAGTGACTGTGTACTCATTTAACACCACGTATTTAAGACATTTTAAATATAAAGACGCTCCCTATTTTTAAAACATATGCTAATTGCTTTGATATCTTATAATGCAATCCAGCATTCATACATATTTAAGTGCGTCTTGTATGTCCAAATACTTTTGGGGTCACAGTACTGTACATAACACCACGGAAAACAAAGAAACTGGAGTGTCCTAGAACCTCCCTCACGCACTGCTCAGTGGGTGTAGAATTACTTTTTAGTCAGGGCGCAAGTGCGCATCGTATCGCGTAGTGCACTACAGGAGCGTCTTCAGCGCGCGCGCGCTAGTGTGTAAAAACCATCACTTCACCAGAATTTCGTGTCAGAACGGGCTGGTCTAAGGACCTGGGGGATATTGGCACCCTCTCCTCGTTCATTCGCACCCACTCTCCTCCCCACACACCCTGTCGGAGCAGTACAGAAGCCCAACAATCAGACAGCTGTCGACTGCCGGCTCGGGGCGCGCGCGCTACATCACCAATGCCGGGAAAGCGTCCGCGCATTCAGCAGCTCTCTCGCGCGCACGGACGGACTGCGACTATGTGAAGTAGTGACCGCAAGAATGGACCAAAGGAACTACTTCGCGCTTCTGTTGCTTGTTTTACATGTCCAACTCACATTTGGAGAGTTCTTTCCAGGTAAGTTTGCATTATGTTCTTTGCTTTTGGCCACTTTGCAAAGGCTTACGCAAATGCCGTAACCCAAGACGGGATGAAACTTTAATAATTGCGCCTTGTTTATTAATGGTGGTGTTGTGACTGAAGAGGTAACGTAATGTGATTTCTAGGGAAATTTGATTCCAGTCAGATTTGGGGTTTTCTTTATTGGTCATTTTGGACTTTTTGCAGTCGAATGATAGCTTTTTAAAAAGGATTTGTTTGGTTGTTTACCTCAGCATACTCACATGTGGACGAAATCAAATTTGTTTGTACACAAACAAGACTTTTGTCTGATTTAAAACATTATTTTAGGCTATAATACATTTTTATAATGTTTATATTGTTTCAAGATTTGTATTTGACTTGACACCTCAGACTGGATGAAGAAAAGTTTACTCAGTCAATAATACATTAGTACGTTCATAATTAAAACAGCTATTAATGTTGTTTGATTTGTGGAATTTTAATATACATTATAACGTTTATTTTGGTTAGCTGTAAAAAACGGCGGTTAAATCTTAAAAAAAAAAAACAAAAACAGTCTAGTATCGAGTGAGGGAATCGGCTACTGCTCCTTTAAAATGGCTGCAGTTCTTCTGTCCTCCAGAGGGTGGCGCTCTGGGCACATCCAAACCCTCAACCTCAGCATCACCGGTTGAATCGGTGGTCGATGAAAACTTGTCCTAGAATGGAAAGATTTCTCCCGTTTCTTTTGTTTTGAAAATCGTATTTACTTGAAATATAATATTATTCATCATAAACTATCTGCAGTGCTGAAAAAACTAGCAAAAGTGCTTAGTTATTATGATAAAGATGCAGCTAATTGATGGGGTTGAATTTATAAAAATAACACAAGTTGTTTTTTTAAATAAATTATATAAGGCAGTATAAATAAACATTTAGTTTAACTTTACCTGAAATGTTAAAAAAGCCAATTATGTTTTAAACAAAGGTGAGAAAATAACTAAATCACAAACAAATAAGCCAAAGCTTAATTGCTGCCTGAAATAAACTGTGCCTGATTTATAACCTGTGGCGATACAAAGTTTCCAACACTTGTCCAAACACTTAATTACTGATTTAAAAATCCTAGGCGAAGCTCTAAAAGCTTGTCATAATAATTTGTACTTTCCCAGATTTACTCTGTTGCACAAGTTGGATGGAAACCGAGTAAAAACAGCATCTTCCCTTTATCACGTGACACAATTAAAATCCTTGCAAAGTAAATAGGCAGAATATGAATTTAAGTTTGCATAAAGATTAAGTATAGCTGTTTTTTTAGTTGCATTTATAGTTTAATAGATTTAGTTTTCCACTGTTTGCCTATAAAAGCATCACAGATACATAAATTAACTAGAAACTACAATAGGCAAATGTTAAAACAGTTCAAGGGCCTTGTCTAATGAATCCAGGGGATTTGCTTTATAGAAATATATACGCTTTGTTTGTTTGTTTGTTTGCCACTTCTCATGTTCTGCTGACCTGTTGAGCAAATACGATGTGCTTCTGCTCTATATCTTTCATGGCTTAACATGTTCATTTAATAAGCCCCCCAGACCAGTGTTTTTTTTTAAATTCAGAGCTTTTTAGTGTCACGTCTGTAGCCTGGCTCTTGTTGCGAGGATAATTTGTGTTCCATTCTATCTACGCTTGTAATTTTGGCAGGGCCAACAAGACTTTCTCTGTGCTTCAGTGAACAGCTTGACAAGTATAGGCCTATCTTTATTCACCGTCTGAGGAAATGAATGCGCGGCTATCAGCCTGAAAAAGACACATCTTTTTTTGGATGTGATACTATGGTGGTACAGTTGTATATGCGAGTATGGTAGTCATTTTGTGCCATGATAGATATGAAAGTACCATTGTATGATTTTGTCATTGTACCATGGTACCCTCAAGCCATACAGAGCCAAATGCTCCCATCACATTTATTTGATATTGATGGGCGTTTCTTGTATTTATATTGATGTTTACATCATTTAAAAGCTTTTTTAGTGCGCAACTGGTTCAGTAGGGCTACATGTTTCATGCCTATGGGCGAAGCGGTTGAGTGTGCTGTAATTGATTTAAAAGTGGCTGTTATCCCTCTGAAAGATTTTTATTTGGCATTTAATTCGATATATTCAGCCGGCAGCAGAGAGACAAAGAGGAGTGAGCTGATATGTCTGATTCTCAGCGTTCCCTGTCATCTTCCTGTCACACTTTCACACAGTCCCCTCTGTAAAAGTTGTCTGTCTTTGTGTAGTTCTTTACAAGGAGTACTGTTATGGTGTATCGTCATTGTACCTTTATGGTATCAGATGGTAAAGACTATTGCACATTGGTTGCACTTTACCAATGAAACATTGGTAAACATTCATTTTTGGGTGAACATTCATTTAAAAAAATAAAATACTATAGGATATACTGTGAGAACTTCCTTGCTCTGTCATCATTTGGGAAATATAAAAAAAAATAATTAACAGGAGGGCTATATATATATATATACACACACATACATCTGAAGTCAGAATTATTCGCTCCTGAATTATTTTGACCTTAAAATGGTTTTAAAAGTTAAAAACTGCTTTTGATACTAGCCAAAATAAAACAAATAAAACTTTATATATATATATATATATATATATATATATATATATATATATATATATATATATATATATATATGTGTGTGTGTATGTGTGTGTGTGTGTGTGTGTGTGTGTGTGTGTGTATATATGTGTGTATGTATGTGTATGTATATATATATATACAGTTGAAATCAGAATTATAAACCCCTATTTTTTTCTTTTTTAAATATTTCCCAGATGATGTTTAACAGAACAAGGAAATTTTCACAGTATGTCTGATAATTTATCAGTATTAAATAATAAAATTTTTTTGTTTGTTTTTAGAGTAATTTCAGTTGTTAATTGTTTTTCTTTACAAAACGATGCATTTGTTTTCTTTAGATAAATTAAAACAAGTACAGTACTATAAAAAATGTTAAATAATAGTATTTTTTGATGTAAATTGAAAGTATTTACAATTTTAAGTGTGTTTATCATCAAAGTAATTTCCAGATATTTCATTAAGCAGAGATTTTTGTCCAAAAATCATGAAACTCCAATTAATTAGGTATGTTTAAAAAAATGTACTGGCTGTTTATATTTTAGAATTACATGCTATTCAAATGTACTTTGCAATAACCTAAGCTTGCTTGCAAATAGATATTTATTTTAAAAACATCATCTTCAATTATTTTAGACTTCTCCTTTAAAAAGAAAAGTTTAACATTGAACATAATGAAAATAAATAAATAAAATACAATTCTATAAAAATATATTTTAGTTTCTCCTGAGCTCTGTGTTTACGTAATATTTATGGTTAGCAGAATCCTTTATAAAAAAATAGTTTTTAAGACCATAAGAAACTTCTTACAGTTAAATGTTGCCATTGCATATTTTAGGTATTCCCTTGGCACTTAAATGTAAATTAAAGTAGCACTTCTTGACACTTGTTGTTACTATTAACAATAACCTTTGTATGCCTCACACTGTGCATCACAACACCCCAAATGCTTCAGTCAAAAAGCATCTCTTGTTCTTTCCACGTTTTTGTTAACAATGACATAAGCATGCTTGTGTGTGGAGATTTCTTTCAGTTATAGTTTTCATGCTGTGCAACTTTGCTTCATAGATGCCAAAAAGGACTAAAAAGTATTATCATAACTTCTGGAAACATTTGTTGGGTGCCCAGTAATGACGAAGGTCCTCTGTGTTCCTATGATATAGCTGAAGTTTATTCATCAGGCCTACATATATAAATCCAGCCCCAGGCCCTGTCTAGTTTAGCAGCAGCCTGATAATTTATTGCAGGGTCAGTTTAGTTTATCTAACTCAGACGCATCATTTCTTTTTTTATTTGCCTGGCAGAATTTTTAATTTAGTTGAGGTTGCGGGGAGACGCTAATATTAATAAGAATGATTAATTAAAACTAATGAGAGATCATATACCCTGAGGGAGTTGTGGATTTGTCTCCGTCTCTCTCTCTCTTTGACAGCTCCTCATTTGCAGCTCGCTGAAGTCTCTTATCATCTGCGCTCCGCCAGACTAATAGCTAATCCAGAAACCACTGGATAATCCAGTTCATTTAGTGTGCGAGCGTTTCTTTGGCTTCTGGAATAAATTTCATATCCTTGAGCAAGAGACATACATTTGTCATTATTTTATTATTTCTTTGAATTGTCTGTTCATCATCCTGTATTCTATGACTGTCTGAAAGGCAGACTGAGTTTCTATGAGTTTTTTCTAAGTCTTACTGTGGTCCCACTTTACATTAGGTGGCCTTAACTAATATATACTTACACTAAAATTATTCATTTGTTACAGTTTACTTATTGCGTAAATACGTGTTTTTAAACTGTACTTATGATTGATTAAATACCTGCGTTTAATTACTTCTTTAATTAATTTCTGTAATTACATTTTTAATTACACTGTTGACCATTCCTACACCCTAACCCACGCTTAAACCTACCCATACCACCAAACCTTTCCCTAACCCTAACCCTAACCATATCCCCCACCTCAAGAGCACCACAAGTGTTCTGCAATACATTATGAACACAGTAAGTGCATTGTGTTTAATTTTCGATGTAAGTGCATAGTAGTTAAGGCCACCTGATATAAAGTGGGATGGTTGAGAAATCCAGTACTTTAGATTCTTTGTTTGTTAATGTTAACTCAAGATTAATCAATTTGTATTATTTTAGGCTGTTTACCTTCTCCATTTTTATTATTTTATTATTATTTTAAAATAGATTTTAGTTTCTGTGCTGATGTTGAATTTATTTCTGAAAGTCATTTTAATATTTACAGTAAGCAGAATCTTTTAGTACTAGAAGATTGTTAAGATCTTATGAAACTCCTTAACATTAAATGTGTTCAAAATTAGATTAAAATGATTCTATATTTATGTGCATTTAAAATGAAATATA